GCCGTAGCACAGCACAAAGTTTTCTTTTTAAGGGAGTCTCTACATGTAAGTACTTCACCCTCCAATCCCAGGAGCATGTGTGAGGCTCAGGTGACTGGACCTGCTGTCAGGCATACAGGAACTTCAGTTTAATCAGGCATAAGACTCAAGAGAACAGGAGTCTTTCCCTTTGCTGCTCAACACTTGTCTTAATTACAGGTGAAGGACGTAACAAGTGCAAGCTCACAGGAAACAAGAGTAGAAAACAGCTGGGGGAGGTTGGGAGGGACAAGAGAATTAATGCATAGTTCTATATTTTAATAAACCAGAATCTCAAAATGAGTGTTAATGAAGAAATTTTCTGAGTACAGCTGGGAAACTAAGTGTATAATGCAACAGCTGAGTCCAAAAGCAGACTGAGTACGTCCTGTTTCAGCCAGATTCACATTAATATACAGTACACCAAACATTCATTTGTATCTGGGCTGAAAAATGTTTCTTTCTGCACTCAGATAAGATAGGTAAAAACATTTTACGTTGTATGTAAATATAAGTTAAAGGGTACACTAAAATGTAACCTTTAAACTTCACAATGTAACAGCATACCACTTCCTGTTCAGATAGCACTCCAAGATCAATTAATCATGGCTAAGACGAACTAACGGTCAACATTCTTAATTAGTGCTGATGCATTCTCCACTGTGCCCTCATCTGTCATGAAGACTGTTTAAAAAACTGAGTTATTAGTCTTTATTGAGGAGTGGATCTGGTTAATATCTCTAAGAATAGAAACCATTCATTCATCCACTATGCACTGGCACCTGATAATTCCTACCCCCTATATAAGCTACAGATAACCAACGCCCTAAGACCAGCTTGGTAGCTATAAATCAAAATGAGTGTAGCTCCCATGCAACCTGGGTTAATTTTATTTACAATATATCCACGGAAAATGTTGGTATGACACTTGAGGAGTCTGTTTATAGATTAGTGCAGAGCAAAATATACAAAGTAGTCAAGGTAGAAAAGAAAGAAACACATCAGTCATACAAAACACAGTAAAATCTCTCTAATTCACACTAATGACTAGAAGATCCATTGCAATTACTGAACTTTGTCAATACCAAATTTAAGCAAAGATCCTAAGTGCACAAACCACAATTCATTCACTTGATAACTATAGGTCAATTTATCCTATACAATATGTCAAAGTACTCGACAGCAACATATCTATAAACGTTTTAAGCCACTGCACTGAAATTGAAAAGCATTTGTTAAACTTAACAATAAGGCTAACTCCCTTATTTCTGGTGCAAACGAAACGGTATTAGCAACACACAAATAAGTATATTTCAAATATACTTTGTATTAAATAGGATTAAAATACTGCAAAGTAAGTTACATGAAAAGTTAAATTTAAGATTCAATGCCAACTGTAAATTTTAGGATTATTAACATCTTATGACTTAATATTAATATGGAATAGAAAAATTGTACATGAAATTTTATAATTCATTTTGTTGTTTACCAAATGCACAGAGAAAAACCTATAGAAATATAGAGAATTAACTGATAATCAGACATCAGTGCAAGAAACAGGTCTGTGCAAGATCTTGACTCAAAACATTTTCTACTCTCTCTGACCAGATGTGTAGGTCAGGCTATGGAAAAAATGTATAGGAAGAACGAAAGAATGAAAAATAAAACTAAGCACCCAGGAGGAAGACAGTCACCTTAAATAAAGCACCACTTTCACAAAGGAGGACTCCAAAGTTTTTCAACACCAAAACTTCTTGTTCTCCCAATTATTTTTAATAAATTAGTGCACAATGACAGTCTTTGATTTTAGCTAGTCCTGAAGAAAAAAGAAAAAAGAGAGGGGGGGAAAAATGAGGGGTGGGGAGGTCCACAATTTAGGAGATCTCAATTCATACTACTTTACTACTTTCAAATAAATTTCTGATGGATGAGAGACTGGAGACTGATCGGAGCTTTGTATGTAGAAATTACCTTTCCAATGTTTCATGAATAAATCTTAATCTTATAATCATAATAGGACATTTAAAAAAATTGCCGCCACTCTGAAGTTAATTGTCATGCTTTAAACAGATGCACAGTAGCTCACTGTGTTTGTGTTTCTAATCTGTTGCAATGTACAATAAAACAGAATAGTCAAAACTAGCACTAATTCATTTAAATCAGCACTAAACAATTTGTTCAAGTTTGACGGAACACTTAAGAAATTCCTGCAAACTTACACATATAACAGAATGACTACAAATGGATACAAAAAACCACTAATAAATCACACAGTTTTATAGACAGTTTAACAGCTAGTACACAACTATGCACCATATACTCCTATACCTGAAGCAATTTGCTTTCAATGACAAAAATTTAATATCCAAGGAAATTATTTTCACCTAATAGGAATCATGTGTACAGTTTTCTATATTTCATTGTGAAGAAAAATATTTTTCATTGTTTTCTTCCAAGCTTTTTTTTAAAGCTATAGCTTTATTCCTATTTCTGAAGCACTACAGCAGAGATCCCAGGTGCATTTACCCCAAAGCAGAAAAATACGCATTTCTTTCAGACAGTTTTCGTAAGTGAAAATGGCCAAATAAGAGCCTAAAACCAAGCTAAGTATACTTAAAAGAGCAGCACTAAATTTAGGCCAAGGTTTCAGAACCGATGGTTTCAGCTGGGCTTCCAAATGCTTATCTAGGTATATAAATACTGGCCTAATGCTTCCAGCTGCTATGAATGAAAATAACTGCATTCTTGGCAATTTTTAAAACTTCTATCAGAAAGAAAGTTAAGTGTTAGAATAACTTGCCTGTGGATATGGACATTTCTAGTCTTTAACTACACATACCTGGATATTTTCCTAAAAGACATGTGTAGCTCAAAAATCAAGTACAATCCTGACACAGAAATTACTGACTGAAAGTATTTCGCCTGTATGATGCACGATGTCAAGTAAGTTCATCAAGTCATCAAATGGCTTTTCTTGGATTTAACCCTATTATTGCTCTTGCATTATGTACAAGCTTAACACCTACCAAGCAAAGAAGTTGGCTATTCTGAACCCAGTGATTCCACCTGAAGAACTTGCTACTACTAGTAGCTTTATTCTTTCATAACATGCAAGAGTCAACACCATGCTTCTATACAAAAAAACCTTGTTTTCTATTTATGTAACAATAGGAGCTTGACTACAGTTACTTTCACAGGCCATTAAAGTATTGGAGTGGAAGCCCTCCTAGAGATTACTCTCCCATTACAGAATTCAGAAAACCAATGTACTTCTAAAAGCTGAATTTTTATCATACTGAAATAAAAGTAAAGCAAAAAAATTATCTCTGTAAGCAGCATCCCCTGAATGCTCGACGTGCAACAACACAAACATCTTTAGGATCATATGAAAGCAACAGCTGGCTTTTTTTTCTTTATACACAGCTTCCGAAGGAAAAGGAGGTAGCAACCACACTGTTCCTTCAGCTGCTATTTTCATAATATGAAAGCCCTTTCACTGGTCAGTGTCAGTCTTTATCTGGAAGCTCACCTACAAAACCATATCCTATTTGCAGATCCTCCCAAGGAAATACATGGATTTTAAAGAATTACAGGCATGTCTGTGAGTAAAATATATATACTTAAGGTTTATAACAGAGAGAAAACTTCAAATGGAAACTAGTGTCTGATTTTCTACCTTTATGGAGTCATTCCAGCAAACGAACATTATTTATCCTATATTACAGTTTATGTTCTGTAAATACTTCATGAGATTTGCAGAACTCCAGCTAGGAAGTCAAATTTTGGGGTAAAATATAGATCAGTGAAAAATATAAAATATTGAATGTCAACAGAATCTGTATTATTGACTCTGGTTTGCTCAAGCACAACACTGTCTATGTTATACTTTATGAAGTGCTATTTATATATTGTAACTCTAAGAGCTTCTCTGTTTTCTTCCCAGAAAGTAAGTAGTCTTTCATAATTAATATAATAAAATGTTACAGCATCATAGTAGCAACACTACAGTTAATGGTTCTGAATGAAAATATTGCTTCTACGTTGTTATCAAGTGCTTTTAAACAATACTAACTTGCTAGATGAGGTCTTTTTTTCAGGTTTGTTCACGATATGGACATTGTGAGATGGACACAAATTACTCAGAAAGTAAAAACAGATCAAATCTGTTCTTTGTTGTTCAAAAAAATATACTTACATTGATAAAAAGTCTGTATCTGTTTCCACCACTTGTTTTTCTACCATCTGTTTCTAAAATTGCTTTATGTTGTTTTTATCATCTTCAATAAAAAAAGGGGATCTCAGATATACTAATAAGGATGTTTCTGTAAGATTTCTTATCCGGAAATGGGGGAATTTGGAATCCATCTGATTAGGAAACTAAAGAGGTAACCACTATTTAAAGTGGAATAATTTGGTGGTCAGACCATTGTATCATATTTACATGATCAAGAAGAGGACAGGTTAAAAAAGCCCAGGACAATAGGAAATAAGTAACCTCATGCAAAACTACAGACAGAATGCAAAAAAAGCCTAATAAGCAACTCATATATATTATGCCTAGTGCATTGTGTAGATACTTTAAATAATGTATACCAGTACTTAATTTAGCAGTCTCTTGACAGACAGAACTATGAAATATACCTGTTATTAGATCCAGGAATGCTTTTAGATGCATGCCATGGCTATATCCTGAATTCAAACATGAGTGAGAGAAATCTCTCTACTCCTGTGTGCTGCTCTCCAAGTAAAGAAAACACAGGCTGAGAGGCTGCAGGCTAGGCAAAGCAGGATGCAGCAAGTCCCTCAACCTAACTACCCAAAACCAAAATCCTGAGGTACACCCGAATATGTCATCTGTACACAGCAACAACGCACAAGGCAGTATTTTGTTTCATTTTAATAAAGATACACCCAATGCCATTTCTTCAATAAAGAGCAACATCCAGAGTATTTGAATAAATATTTAAGTATGAATAACTTACTTTTATTTCCAACCAAGGCCACAAGTGGCTGTGTTTCTGATTCTTCATTCACTTTTTTTACCACATTGTACCAGTCTTCTAAATTTTCAAAGCTCTGGCCATTGGTAATATCATAAACCAAGAGAATACCCTAAATAAAAAGATACATTTAAAATGTTAGAGGCTATAAAAATATTTTAACATTGGTAAAATTTGCTTCAGTCTAAATTACTATCACCATAAAATAGAGCATTAACAAATAATGGCATTGTCTCTCTTAAGGAATAATCAAAGGAATTATAAGCTTCCATAATAAACACATTTGATTGCAGTATTTCTCCTGCATTCCATGTGCTCCAAACTCAGATGTTAACTGAACCACAAGGGCAGAAAAAAATGGCAATTCAGTAAAGAGCACAACTAGTTATATTAGAAATATATGAAAGTGCATATGCTTTACAAAAAACCTTAAAAGCACTTCACAATAATAGTAAGATAAACATCACACTGGAGAAGGACTTTTATTTTAGGCAATATTATTTGCAGTTTCATTGTTCCCTTTTTGAAGAACACAAAAAATAAAAACAGCTAAATTGTACATTTCTGCACATTGCTTGACTGTTGCCTCTCTGCTCTCCTTTGGGAAGAGAGGCCAGATCCCTTCCTTCACTGTTGCAGAAGACAAGCAAGAAGTACTGGCAAGCTTTAAACTTTCAAAGGGAAAAATTAAAATGTGTTCAGAAGTCAAAAAGAATGGAGTCCCATGTATATCTGGGCCAGGCTAAAAGCAACAAATACTCAAAACTGACATTCCCAAAGATTCCTCAGAGCTAATGTTCAATATTATAAAGCACAGCCTATTAATAGCCCAAATGGCTGCCTTCTCCCCTCCATAATTCTAAGATCAGCTCTCATAAATCACTCTCCTCTCAGTTACTGAGTCTTTTGCCCCTGCTTTTCACTACATCCTAATAAATTGTCTTGTAAATGAGGAATAGTCAGAATTGGCTTCTGTTGCACTTGTTCTCATGGCATTCACATTTGGAAAAAAAATTCCTACAACTGCACACTGTTCCTCACATGAGATTTTTACAAATATTCTAAAAACCCAATACAACACACACAAAATTAGCTGGTTCAATGACCTAGTCAAGTTTTTCAGGCATTTGTCTGGGCCCAGCTTTACTTGATAGTTTCATGAGGAGTGTCTTAGATCATAAAATAGGTGATAGTTTCATGAGGAGTGTCTTAGATCATAAAATAGAGTGCACAGTTAATAATTTCACAGATGACAACAAACTGGTAGAGACTGCAAGAATATTTGAGAGTTTAGATTATATGATGAGAAACAACATAAAAATAATAGGATGCAGTTCAATAAGTACCATGACAAGTTCAAAGGAAGCAAAAATCTACTGTACAACAAGAAACATCTGGCTTTGTAGCAAGTTCTACACAACAGGATCAAGGAGTTATAGTACATCACAGTTGAGTATATCAAGCTTAATTTGTAGGAAAAAGGCAAATATCACACTGGCATGAAACATTCCAGGTGAAACAATGCAGCTAGGTTTGGACGCTGAATGTCAAGAAAAGGGTAGACTAGAAGAGACCAGTAACAATATCAAAGGTTTAGAAACCATGACTGACATCAGAAAATTGAAAAAACTGGACTGTTTCAACAAACACAAGACTGATGGCAGGCATGATGGTGAGATGGCTCTAGGGAGACCTTACAGCAGCCTTCCAGGACTTAAAGGGGGCCTACATGAGAGATGGGGAAGGACTCTTGATCAGGAAGTGCAGGGATAGGACAAGGAGTAAGAGTTTTAAGCTGAAAGAGGGTAAATTTAGATTAGATATTAGGAAGAAAATTTTTACTGTGAGGGTCGTGAGACACTGGAACAGGTTGCCCAGAGAAACTGTGGATGCCCCATCCCTGGAGGTGTTCAAGGCCAGGTTGGATGAGGCTTTGAGCAATCTGGGCTAGTGGAGGGTGTCCCTGCCCATGGCAGGGGGTTGGAACTAGATGATCTTTAAGATCTCTTCCAACCTAAACCATTCTATGCTTCTATGCTAGAAGTTTTAACAGAAGACAACAGTTCCCTTTTTATATGCTCTTATACATAGTTTGCAGATGACACTAAATTGAGAGGACCAGCCAATATGCCTGAGGGCAGGACTATCATTCAAAGGTATGTAGACACACTCAAGAAACGGGCAAACAGGAACCTTTCAACATTCATCAAGGACAAATGCAAACCCTGTAGCTGGGGATGAATTAACAATACCAGCTGAGGGGAGAGATGGGCTGCTGAGCAACTGAAAATGACCTGCAGGTCTTGGTAGACTGCAAGCCAAATATGAGCCAGCAATGTTCCCTGGCAGCAAGGATGGCCAACATAATCCTAGACTGTATTAGCAAAAGCACAGCCACTTGATCAAAGGATCTATTCCTTTCTACTCAGCACCTGTTAGCTTGTATCTAAAGTAATACATCCAGTCTTAGGCCCCTCAAGACATCAATAAACCGGAGTAAGTTCAACAGAGGGCCACCAAGACGATCAGAAGTTGGAGCACTTGTGTCCTACAAGGAAAAGCTGAGGGAACCAGAATTCTTCAACACGGGGAGCGGGTAGTCCTAGGAAGACCTAAAAGCAGCCTTCTCATACCCATGAGGAAGTTATGAAGGAGATGGAGCCAGACTCTTTACAGCAGTGCATGGCAGGAGGATGAAACACAATGGGCCTAAGCTGAAACAAGAGAAATTCAAACTAGATATAAGGAGAAGCTTTTTCACCATGAGGAGAGTCAAGCAGTGGAACAGGTTGCCCAAAGAGGTTGCTCAGCCTCCCGTCCTTAGAGGTTTACAAGAAGAATGGATAAAGCCCTAAGCAACCCAGTCCCACCTCACAGCTGAACCTACTTTGAGCAGATTTGACTAGAGACCTGAGATCCTTTCCATCTTGAACATTCTTACAATTCTGTGATGAATACATGTAGCAATAGGTTTAAATTACAGCAAGATTATAGCAAGGGTTCATTCTAGAAAAAATCATGTAGACAATAAGAACAATGAAGCTCTGAAATACACCACGTTCAGGGACAGCAGTCACCAACACTGGAGGACTTCTAAAGGTTGATAAAAATAAAACAGATAAAAATAAAACAGACATTATACCGGCATAGCTTCAGAGGAGGGCAACAGATCCTACTGAGATCCCTTCAATACCTATTTCCCTATGACAGCAATATAAATCTATCTCTTTTCCTTCAGTGTCATCAACTCCTTGGCAAAATGAGTTCTTTTTCCTTATATTTATATGGCTGCTATTAATTTCTGAGGAGCAGCTTTCAGTTGCTCCTTCAAGGAAATTAAGAATTATGACATTCATCTTTTCTCTTTATTAATAAATCTAAAATTAGACATCCACTTCCCTCTTCCAACTTTTGTACAATTTATTCCTTAATATCTTGCATCGCAGTTAACTTCTTCTAACTAATTCTATAACTACCCCCATGCCTGTGCAAGTATGTATTTGTCTTTCATAATATAAGCCTTGCTCTAGGAAGGACATACTGATGTTATTAAATGCTCAGTGTAGAAGAAGAAACTCAAGCTGAAGGACATGTATTGTAAAGGTTAAAAAAAAAAAAAACATAAGGCTGAAAGCTGTAAGTGAGAAAGAGCACGTGGCACACTTCTTTCATCAGTGGTCAAGTTCTCCCATCAGCTCGCAGAACAGCAGAGCAGACTATCTAAACCATCTTCAGCACTGAGGAGTTTAATCAGAGTTAGATGTAATGTAAAGTTAATAGAATCTGAGCATTTAAGGTTGGCCAACTGTTTCTAATTCTTCAAAGTGCTACTCTGCTACATGTCCTCTAGCCAACTGCAGCCTTCCTACACTTTTGGAAGAAACGGTATTCACGGTGGATTTTCTGTTAAAGAAATCATTGAACAAAATTCACAACTAGAGCTCACCTAATATGCCCCTAAAGCATATTCTTTTCTTAACCATTCTTTTTTTGAACCTTGTCAGTATTTGCTATATTTAAGAAACAAAGATGGTAGGTATCACAGTCTGGAGACACCAAAAAAAGCATAATGGTTTCCAGGTCATAAGGAATACTTCTTGCTTAAATTTTTGACACAACAGCACTCTATAAGGAACTTAGTATGATAATTAATGAAGGACTAGTCATAACTCCATAGCTAAAATTTATTTCATCTTTTTTTATTTAACATAGAAATCCCATCATTGCTTTCACAAATATACATCATATATTGCACAAACTTAGAGTACATGGAGTACAGAATGAGTAGATAGTATAAAAGCTGTTACTTCTCCATTATGTATGAGGAATTAAGGTGGAAAATTAACACTGGCCTTTTTACACAAAAAGTAGCACATTTCTCTGCCATGAAAAAGGTTTGAAACATATGGGTGACAACATGCCGAGAACAGCATGTTAATTCTCTAGTCTCCAGGAACGTGGAAAATAGTCCCTGCTTGCACAACTGCACTCTAGTAAGAGAAACATTTTGCCTACATTAGTGTGTATGTGAGTGCTTTTTGTTTTGGAACTATAGAGTATTTTTAAAAATAGGTCACTGGAAACTGAGAATACTGCAGAAATTATTTGCTGGTCTCTGGAGAAGGTAGAGTCTGTAGTACTCTTATTCTATTAACAAGCCAATTTATGAGGTCGTGTATGCCAGCTCTTAAAGATACTTGAAACTAGATACGTGGGTAGGGGCAGCAATTACAGGTAAGAGATGGGAGTGGTTCTGAAATACTTACCATGCAAACAACAGCAAAACTGCTATTATGGAAGTGTTGCAACCAGGCAATATATTCACACTAGACAACCAACATTTAAAAGGTGTCAAGTTTATGTCAAGACTTGTCACAATAAAAGAAAGCTACAGAAAACACTAATTAAAACCAAATGTTTTCTTCTTCAGGTTCATCCTCAGCTGCCCTCATCCTATGACTGACTTTAGTATGAAGGAACTAAATTAACTTTCAAATTTTCACTAATATTCCTGAAATATGTCAGACCAAAATTCTAAAATATTTTTTCTAGTTCACAGAATATTAACTTTAGCGAAGTTTGACTTCATGATATCTTGCACATCTGCAGAAATGCTCTTTTTACAGGTGAAAAAAGTTATGCTTAACCACTGCTGTCTTTGCTGATACTGAGGATATGGTCACTCACATACATGCAACTGAGTTGCCATAATTGAATGCACTACTGTCTATCACCTCAGCTGTGGTAGCTGACTATATGATTACTCTCAGCCTCCTTCAATTCTGAGACAAATGTGTCAGCTTTAATCAACACTGACAGAAAGTTGTTTATTAGCACCTTTGATTTATAATGGCCAAAGAGCTCTCTTTCCCCTCAGCTTGCAGAGTTCTTCTGACCCACCAGTGAAATTTAGCTACCAAGATGGGACACAGCAACTATATTGTTCTGGATGAGCAACACCAAAGGGGGAAAAAAAAAAAAAAGAAAAAAAAAAAAAAAAAAAAGGGAGGAGAAAAAATCAACTGCTTCAAGATAGCAAGTGAACTGCAATTTCTCCAACTGCAACCACACAAGAAAATTAAACAGATTCCCATCCTCAAATCTGGCACTCTTATTTTAAAATATGGCACAAGAAATCAACAAGCATTCAGCCACTTGTGATTTCTGAATCTCACAATGATCAACCAGATGAAGTCTTATTCAAGGCTGTGTGCATCTGCAAATACTGGATAAAAGCGTGATGCATACTGTAGGCATGCTGCAAGCTATTCTACACATGTACTTTAAATTTGAATGATTTAGATTTTGAGAATACATGCAGATGAACACAATTTCTGCAACAGATCCAAATCATCTACTCTATGTGTATGTACACAACCTGTGTACTTTACAAATAAGATGTTTAAAATCCCAGTTGCACCACACACACTGACCAAGTGCAACACACCAGAGGTACACATAATTATTTTGTAGCAACCTTCACTAGAATTGCTCTAATATTTCAAAGGCTTCCCTGTACTGGGGAACCCAAAACTGAGCACAGTAGTCCAAATGTAGCTTCAAAAATTCAGACAGGATGATAATAACTTTCCTTGATTTGCCTACTTCATTCTTACTAATGCAGTCCGGTATTCATTTAGCTTTTACTGTTACAAGGGTGCACTGCTGACTCCCATTCCACTGTTTTTTTCTTGTAAGACCCCACCTTCTTTCCTCCAAAGACATTTCACAGAACGGCTGAGGTTGGAAGGGACCTCTAGAGGTCGTTTAGTCCAACACCCCTGTTCAGGCAGTGTCACCTAAAGCCAGCTGCCCAGGAACACATCCAAACGGCTTTTGATATCTCTGAGGATAGAGACTCCGCAGCCTCTCTGGGCAACCTGTGAAAAGTTGTTTCACAGTTGTTTTCACAGTGAAAAGGTGTTTCCTGACATTCATAGGGAACCTGTTGTGTTTCAGTTTGCACCCATTGTTGCTTGTCCTGTCACTGGGCACCATTGAAAAGAGCCTGGCTCCATCTTCTTCGCACTTTCCCTTCAGGTATTTATATATATTGATAAGATCCCCCTGAGCCTTCTCTTCTCCATGTTGAACAGTTCCAGCTCTCGCAGCCTTTCCTCATAGGAGAGATGCTTCAGTTGATTCCTCAACAGTTCATTCCCCAGCAGTTGACTCCCAGCCGGCATAAGGTTATTCTGTCTCAGGTGCAAGACTTTACATTTGTCTTAGCAAATGTCAAAAGGTTTCTCTGTTGGCCCATTCCTTCAGTTTGTCATGGTCTCTCTCAAGAGCAGCCCTCTCCTCCAGCACAATGACCATTCCTCCCCAGTTTGGTGTCATTTGCAAACTTACAAACAACATTTTGTTCCATTCATCAAAGAATTAGTAAAAGACATGACCCCAGTACAAACCCCTACGGAATACAACTTCTAGCCAGGCATTAGTAAGACACAGAGATATGGACCATCTTCCTTTAAGTCCAGCTGTCAAATAAGTTTTTCAGCCACCTTATGGTCCACCCATCCAGTCTATATCTCTACATTTTGTCTGTAATATTATGGGAGACTATGTCAAAGGCCTTGCTGAAGTTAAGGTAAATGACATCCACTGCTCTCCTCTCCACAGAGCCAAGCATCTAACCACAGAAGGCAATCAAGGTGGTTGGGCACAATTTACCCTTGCTAATTCCATGCTACCTCCTTCCAATTACCTTCTTGCTGCTTTGCTGTCTATTCACAGGAGTTTTTATAAATACTTGAAAGGATTTTTCTTTCTAAATACTCCTAGTGCTACTTTATCTTTCCCCTTTTTCTTCTAAAAAGCTACAGATGTTCAACATGAAATAAGCTTCTGCCTAGAAATAAGCTGAAAGCAGTGCCTTTCCGAACTATTTATAGTGTTTCATGAATAAATGAAAAAAGGTAGTTTTACGTGCCTATAACAGGTGCTGTTACAAAGCTAATAGGAAAGTGAGCTTTGATGATAAGAAGCCTATTAGAGACATTGACAATACAGGCCAACAATGGGAGAGAGAACAGCCATTAGTTCATTAAAAAAATGGGATTACAATGAAGGCTGGGAGAGGATTAAAGGAAAAGAGATCAAATGTAGGGTTTTTTGTTAATGTGTTCAGAATGACTAAAAATCAAATTTTTGCAACTTTAGGCATACTGATACTAACTTTTTGATTACTTTGGGGCATGGGTATTAACTTTTTGACCTGCTATTGCTGATAAGAAACTCCTAAATTTATCACCAAATTCAATATAGAAGTTAATAGCCTCTTATTTTGTTCATTGAGTTTACTTTGGGCATATGGCAACAATTTGTGATTAATCAAATTCCCTCTGTCATGGGAGGCACTTTTCTCCTGTTGCTTGATCAACCTTTAACAGGGCAAAATGTTTTTTATTAAAAACTAAGAAAATGCTATTAAAAAGATGCAACAGCTAAACCCAGACATTTTCTGAAACTGACACGTTAAATCATCAAATTTGTCTTTATCCCGTGAACTAATAAATCCTAATCTCCTTAACTGGCCATTCCTGTGCTGTATTTACTAGTACAAAGTTTCTGTCCAATAAAAGTTTTAGGATTCCATATTCCTATTGTTTAAAATATTGGGGGAAAAAATAGGTGCACTTGTTTTCTTGTCAGGTAAATATAACATTATATAGTAAAACATGTTATACCTCTTGTTCTCATTACAAACTTTAAATTAAAGAACAGAGTACATTTTAGGATCACTCATGTTAAGAAGTTTGGCATATAGTACACCCTCCCAAATCATCTCATAACTCAAGATACTGTTATAATATTTAGCTCTTACTTAATCCTACCATTCACTTTAAGTTGCTTAGTTAACCTCAAGATAAAATTAATTTTCATTGGATAGGAGTTCTGCAAAAATATTTAGCTACCTGGTTGCCTCCTTTTGTTTGCCCTCTTATAACCTGAGTTGCATGTATGAGTTTAATGGTGTAGGATTGCTCTTAATTTCCTCCTTCTACTTTTTTTTTTTTCCCCAGGAGGCATCTGTTCTAAAAGCAGCCACTATATCTACCATGTGGATATCCAAACAGCCTTTACTATTTACTATGATTGCTTTTCTTAAGACACAATGCACGGAAACATACATCTGTTCCTGAGAGTTAGTCAGGTCTACAAACGCACACTCCTGCTCTGCTTTTTAAGTCACCTCTAAAAAATTAACTACATACCAAAATTAGACTTGTATATTACTATCAGTTAAGTTTAGGTTAAGCAGAGATTCAATATTTTTGAGATTTACAAAACAACCACCTGTAAGATATGTATAATTTTAAGAACAAAATTTCAATGAATTTTTTATAATTATTATAGATACAATTATCATCATTTGTACTGTACCTGAGCTCCATAAATATATTTATCCAGCATTTTGCCTCCTATTGTTTGTCCCCCTACATCCCACACTTGAAGAGTAACATTCAAATTTCCTGAAAAAGAAAATTATATAGATGTTGTGTAACCTGAAAAATTTAGATACAAATAAAATTAAAAATATATTATCATGACAGCCAATACAGCTCTAGCCTATCAACAGCAATAGCTTTTTACAGGTACACAATAAACAGTAACTAAGTTACAACCAAAGATGACTGCATCATTTGGAAAAAAGTTGCTTGTATCCAGCTAAGTCACTAATCTATAGCTAGATATTTACATATTTAATGTTAACAGAAAAGAAGTAGAATTGCATGAAGTATAACACTCCTAACTAGAAATTACATAACATACTTCACTGAAGAACCATATAAAACTTTACAGAGGAAGTTCTGTAGCATAGTACTTGGAATCGAAAGGTAATACAATTAATGCCAATTTAACCACATTATTTCATATTCTGTGTCACTTCTCCACCCCCCTCCAAATTTTCTTACAAATCTAGAAGTGGGAAAAATCTGCATAGTAACTGCATTTTGGTAGTGATGCTTTTAGTACTACACAGTTAAACGATTATACAGTTGACAGATTAAAAAAAATGGAAATACTGACACACATCTAAGTTGAGGATGCAAACTATGATCATTTGCTCCATCCACCACCCCAAAGCAGAAAACTAAATTGAACATGATTTACATCATTTCATCATTGAAGAATCTACACCAAGAACAGATCATCCTTGCTACTCTAAACAGTGTTTAAGCTATGTTGAAACTGTTAACAGGTTTTCAAAAACTAAGTTACAAAAAAGTGCAAATACTGAATATTCAATAGCCTACAAGTCATACATATTCTGCAGGCCAATAACTCAGAAACTCAGACTAAACAGACTAAACATACACACATCAATGTACCTTACCACATGCATACAAATATATTTAAGTAGAATTTGGCTCATTTTGCATGGTGAGAACTGTTTTCAAAATCTGGAAGCACCAAACTCTAACACAGTAACATCTAATGAAAATTTTTCTAATCTACATACAACTCACATGACTTACATTTTAATAACAATTCTACGTACTCACAAATAATCATAGCTGCCTATTAATCTTATTTAAATATATTTTTGAAAAATTTCAATAAATTCCACATCACAACAATTGAGTGTCAAGTGAAAAAGAACACATTATTTTGGGCTTCTAAAAAAGACATACTCTTAATTCAACTATTTTATACTATTAAAAACCTTATTTTACACAAGGTGATCCATTCAGCCATCAATTTATAACAAACACACATGGAAATATATCCCAGCACTCAGTGAATATAAACAGTAAATTACAAATTAGCTGAATATATGCTACTTGTGGCATTAAATACACCACATTATATTTTTATGATGCATCTTGCTTTAATCTGGTTAAAAGTGCAGATTTCCTAAACTGCTACTTTGGTCTCAAATGGATAGAGATGAATGTGAGACAAAACTATTCACAGTACTTTTAAGCTACACTGAGTTTTATCTAATACTAAGATAAATAATTTCTACATGGAGCTTACTAAATACATCATAAACTCTCCAGTTCAATAAAGGCAACCTTTCATAGAATAAAAAGCTTTTGTGTTTTGACAATGCATATACTATGTACTAATTAATTATTTTTAAAGCTTAGAACATAAGTGACTGCAAACAATGCAGGAAAGTCTTCCATTAAGCATCTGGTGTGGATAAACTGGTGAATCCACAGTCTGAAACGACTATGCATCCTCAGCGAGTAAACATACTAAACATGCTCAAAAGCCCACCATGCTCTACCTACCTCTAACTTGATTGTATGTATTCTACTGGAAATTTACCATGTCATTCATGCCAGCTATTTGAAAACTTTATAAATATTATTACTTTCAAACTCAACAATTTTCAGATGCCTAACTTTGTGTTCAAACGCTTTAAAAAGTTTCTAACTTCACTTTTCCTCCTAAGAGTAGTAACCATGCACAGCATACTGGGCTTAATATCTGGATAACTGTATGAAATCATCTGAGAAACTTCAATGCAGGAAGTTAAATTAAATTGTCTAACAGTGACTGTTCAACTTAAAATTCTACTATTATGAATGATTTACTTTCCTTCACTGACAACAGAAAAAAGAAACTGCGGAAAAAAAGGTTAGAATGTTCATTTAAGGTGAAGTGGTTCTTAATTAAGACCTCACTAACTACTGAAATTCATACTGATCATCTCTACTGCAAAATGCTTCATTTTCCTGTTTTTTCATTTAGGTCCTGTAATATTTGCTTTGTGCCCAAATTGATTCTGGGGGAAAAACAAGGATGTTAGGATTATTCTGAGAGAAAGAAAAACTCTGGATAATTTGCCTAGCAAACATTTAATTAATAACCATGACAGCAGCACATGAGGTCTTCTGCAAAGAGTTTGTAATCTTTTATTTTTTCATAGATTTAAGAGGAACATACAAACTGGAGAATGACAAAAATCAACCATGTATAATAACACAGTTCCTAGAAACAAGGCTAACATACGAATAAAAGTGAAGAATTCTATAAAAATAATACATAATACACTGATAAGGAACAAGAAAACACTAGCACTTCTTTACTCTGCAGAAAATACACAGAAGTGCGAAGTTAAAATAACTGTGGCACCACAGTGCAGGTACCTAGATTGATTGTGGAACAAACTGAAGCCACTGGGCTGATTCAGTAGTGGTCCCACAGAAGTACACTTGGTCCATTGGTTAACCTTACTTATAAGTGCTGCACAGTCAAGATGGAACTAAAAACATGAGTCTGCCCACTTTTTGCACTGATGACTTACAAAAAAATCCTTTTAACAGAAGAATCCTGTTTACTGGACTTCACCCACAACCTTCCTAAAAGTATTCGACTCTGGCTCGTAAGAATCTCTATCAGCAGACCCTTTGACTAACAGATACGCTATTTAAGCAGTAAAATTTACACTGTGGTTGCATCCAGACTATACAAGATACTGCATCAATAAATATAATTAAATTGATTTGCATTTGAAAAAATTATTTTAAACAAACTGCACGAAGAGAATTTGTCAACAGCTGAACACTGAAAGTCACATTGTTCAAAATCAATCAAAAGATTTACTATTTGTATTAAACCATATTGTTTTGCAATGGAAAATACTTATTTTTTCACCGCAAAACTGCATCAGTTACTAAAACAACTGGAGACAAATACCACTTTTATTTTTAAAAAGCCAAAAAAAAAACCAGAAAAACAGTAATTTTTTTTTACAAGATAAAATGCATTTCTAATGTGGCCTAATGTAAACTTCTGTGCAATTATAGAAATTAGTAATTTTAACTTCTGAAATCTTTGCTTACATTTAAAGAAGAAAAAAATTCAACTCCTGAACCACAGTTATTCATCAAATCTCCTATTAAATAAGAGAAAACGAGGCTTTTTTTCCTACTGATACCCACATTATAGGTTCTGTGCAGCAGTACAAATTAACCTTTCAAGTAAACATAGAAGCTCTGCAAACCCAGAACTAATCAAAAAATTAGAAAAATCCGCTTACTTAAGTAATGCTTCCCATTCCAGTATTTAGAAATTTTACCTCCCTCCCTCCCTCTTCTCCTCCTTCCCTCTCACTGCCCACCACCAGTGCAGCTTACCTATTAAACACAGAAATCCATATGTACCTAAACACACACAGGCACAGGCAAAACCAGAATGACAATCTACAGAAAAATGCTTCTTCCTGAATATGAACACATTCCACAAATGTTACTACTTTGATAATGGTAAACAAGGAAAATAGATGTACAGACTTTGTTGTTTTGGTGCTATTTTCATCTACGTTCTCATTTTATTACGAAATAAACTATAGGAAGGTAAAACATGAATGAATCAATAGTTAATAACTTTCCAAATTTTCCACTCTACAAGAATATTTAGAATCCCAATAATGTACTAATAGCTTCTGTATGCTTAACAGATGGAAAAAAACTTGCAAAACACAAGTTCTCAGCATACACACTGAATGATTTGTGTACACATTCCACTTGCAAGTACTGCTGTTAAGTATTATGCACACTGGTATTTTTAAAGGCATGAGCAGGACAATAAAAAAATTATTCTGTTGATTTTATGGAGAAATAAGCACTGAAGTTTGGTAATTTATCACTCACCAGATACTAAAAAAACACAGCAAAATGGCCAAACCAAAATAGTGAACACAGGAATAGTCTGAAAAGATTATTCTGTTTCACTTAAGAAAATATATAAACATAATCAAGAAATTATTGGCAATAAAATTTTAACAAAATAAGTTCAAGAACTGTATAATTTTCTTATAACTTCAGGTTATAGCTAAAATGTTTCATTTCTGTGTTTCCTTCCTTCCCCTGTCTCCACAAGGAAAAAAGACAGAAGCACAGAACTTGCATCAACTTTATCAAATCTCACCACAACTTTTAATAATCACACATAGTTTTTTAACCTTCTTTTGATTTCTGAAGCCAGAAGAAAACGCATTAAATGAAACACTTTCATACTTAGAAACTGAGCAACCACAAATCAATGAAAAAAACCTATTTCAAACCACCAATTGTTCAGAGACAAACTTCTACCAGCAACTATTCTGTTTTAATTATTTCTTTGCATTTTCCACGGAGTGTGCTGCAACTGGCATCTAAATAGTTTCTTTGCCGTCGTGAAGTGAAACATCTTGAATGCTCAAACTGTATTTTTATGAGTGCCAAGGGACCCTAAATTTTAGTGGTCTATTAAATGCCAGCAATTTCATGCTGCCTTGCATAAAACAGCATTCACATATTAGAGCACTGCGATTCCATAGCTGCATTATGCTTCCCTCACACAACTCAAATTCAAGTCGTGTATTTCATTTTAAAAAAAAAAAAAACAACTATTTCTTTCAAAACACATATACTTTTTCAATTAATAAAGTTCCATTTCATTGTTGTATGTTACCCTATCCACACGCACAGTGAGTACACTCAAGGAGAGACAATAAAAATCATTAATACAGATAGCATTCTTTTTATTTGAATTCAGTGTTTTACTTAAAGATATAGGTTGCAAATGCATAACCTTTTGTCACCTGACAAGAACGTACTAACAAAATTTTCTCTGAATAACCTAATTTACTTTGCCATAAAAAGCACTGTACTAAGCTTATTTAGCACACGTTACTTTGAAGAATCTGTTTCTGCAAGTCCTACTGCTGCCCAACCTTTCAGTGTTAGTTTTTATTCTCTTACCTGGCAATATTATTCTTTTCAAGAAGAAGTCCAGTCCTATGGTTTGTTTATACTGTTTTCCAAATGTTTCTTGGGCAAAACGTGTAGCTAAGGATGTCTAAAACAGAACAATATCAAATTGTCATTTCAAACAGCAAAAAACTTGACATTAAACCAGAAATATGAAATAGAGTTAAGCACTTTTTAAATCAATGCATGCTAACAGTGTTCATGGATTTGGACTGACAAGCATTCCAGACAGCTTCAACACAATAAGAGGAGGTGGCAAAGGCTACTAATTTATGCAAAAAGAAGCAAGGTGCATATTTCCTTCTTATTTCAGATACTGTGATAGTCATGTCACAAAATATTACACAGATTTGAATGAAGTCTCATTAGTGCACTCAAACTGACACAAATCTAAGTGATGTTATCCATACCTGAAGAGCTTATTATTTTTCAAAAGTATTCATTTCCAAAACAAAGGTCCTTCCCTGGTACAGAACACCATCATCCCAAACCAACTTTCTGGCAGGGGACAGAGATCTGCACAGTACAAAATCCCACAGGGGCTCCAAAGAGAGACACATTCCTGCCAGTGCACATCAAAGTTTCAGGATCAGGGATTATATGAAGTCTAAACTAGGAAGAGTACTTTCTTGTACACAGGAAAAACTGAACTCATGTTAAGAATGCACATCTGCAGAAACCCTCCTTTAAGCAGAACTTTTGAAACTTCTTTCCTCAATTTATCTTTCGTGGATTTATGAAAATAGACGAATACACTGTTGGCCTAATAAAGAATAAGCTTTTACTGCATACCACTAAAAGGATACACAACCAATCTACATAAAGTAATGAGGCAAGGCATTTATATTCTTTCATTAGCAATTTAAGCTCTCCATGCAACACAAAAAAAAAAAAAAAGAAAAAAAAAAGGGGAAAGGGAAAGAAAGAAAAAAGCCCCACAACCTAAGGTTAAAAATGAAGGAAAGGCGAAAAGAGAAGGGTAATTATAAAGAATACAAAAGTTTGTATTCTGGAAAAAATTAAATACTATATTAAAATAATTATTTCACATAGATAAAATACACCCTACATCAAATTAGTGGTGCAGACTTACAAATCTCTTGTTGACATGACATTGGTAAATACAAAGTAATTGCAGAAAAAAATCTAAATATGAATTTACTTATACAGGGGAAGAAAAATCCTAACAGCCTCACAAAATCCTTACACTGTCTGAGAAAACTCAAAATGGACAAGAAGGAATTTTTTTTGCCAGCTTTCCATTCATCAAGACCCAAAGAGATCAGTCACATCAATTGTTAGTAGAAATTGTTGTTAGAGCACATTTAGATAAAAATGCAACAGCAAAATAATGCCAACAGTTCTGAAAAACGAGAATAGGCAAGTTCTATTAAGAGAATGGTTATAAAAAAAGATTTAAATTATGCTAATGATGTCAAATGCATATGGGAAGAAAATTTAACTTACTCTTTATGTAACTTACTCTTTTTTGTATGAAAACTTTATCACCAGAGCTTTAGCATTAAAGCTCTAGTATGAATAGGCAAACTTTTATTAAACAATGAAATAACCTATGAAGTAAATAACACAAGATTTACTGTTTTATTGTTTCTATATCACATTTATATTCCTATCACTGTCATATATATATATATATATATAACAAATGATACCTGATACCAGAAGATATGTTTAGGAAGTAATCCAAAAAAATCAATTAAGGACTATGGCAACATTTTAATTTACTTCACTGAACTCAAGCCCTAAGAGGATTAAAAATAAATAAATAAATAAATGGAGAGGAAAAAAGCAAGTAAAGGAGAAATAGTATGAGTATGCTTATATATTTATATCAGCGTGGAAAGGGTGAAGACCACAGAGGATATATCGTGAGAAGATTCTCCTAGCTATGTGACAGTAATACTAACAACACAAACAAAATAAAATTCAATACAGACTTAGACTGTAGCACTAAAAACACCCAGTAGAACCAATTATTTTAATCACAATAGTTAGCATGCCAAGATTATGAAGATATTCTTTTTAATCTGTCATGACCTTAAAGATGTAGATAAGAACACTGCAGGAATACACCATCCAGTCTTCTCCTTGAAATTTTCCTTTTTGAAAAAGTAACCAGTACCCAGGGTACAGACTAAAATGCTATCAGACTATACTATAGCATTCTATATTCTCCAACACACGAATTTAGATCCCCATTAAATAAGCAACCACTCCCTTCTTGTTTTAAGGGCTCAGTAAATATTAGTTTTATCACTCTGTGACACTCAGTATTCCCTAAGGGCTTCTAGGGGTGTTAGTGAAAATAAACAACATACATTCAATTAACAGCCAACCAATAAGAGCACCAAGTAATCAACAACATGGCAAAGCTCTCTTAAACAGTTTTCCTCTACTGTGCCCTTGAATGCAAAGGAATTTATAGCAGAAAATTGACTAACTCATTTTTTAATTTTTTTTTTCTAGTAAATGTTAGAGCTCAAGGAAGGTGTTGGACTACCAGACTAGAGGCCTCTATTTATTCACAGAACAAGCACTGATCCACAAAATACTAAGAGCAACAGTTCAAACTTCTCCACAGCAGTAAACAGAGAAGTTACGTCAATGTATATTCAAGTACCTCTACAATACAAATACTCCCTTCAATCCTAAAATTGTTCTTTGCCATGCTTCCCATAAAAGATTCTGCATGACAATTTTGCCTGTAAGGATATATAAAAAATAATCACAATTAAATAATTGTTCAGCAGAACTCTAGCTGTAGAAACAAATAAATGATCAGTGACCGTTTTTAAAAAAAGATTATGCTCCATTCATAAGATTTCAGCCATTAATCTAGAGATCAGAGGATAGTATACCAAGAAGGCCTGGCTCCTTCACACCTCCACTAAGGACATCAACTTCCATAGCAGACTTTTCAATGGACCCAGTTTCGCGGGTTCACACATTCGTCTTAAATACTTCAAAGCAAATGTTTATATGCTGTTCTGAATAGCAACACACCATTGAAGGTTGGTGTTACAAACTCCCTCCTCTCAGACAAAAAAAAAAAAAAAATGTCTTTGGGTTCTAACACAGAGCAGTCAAGACAGCAATTCAAAAAAAAAATCACAGTATTCTAAGTGCAAAATATTTGGGAAGGTGTTCTGGAAACAAACGAGGACGCAATTAAACCTCACAGGTGAAGCAAGACAATTTCTTGCTTCTATTTTTCAATGTCAACAACTCATAGTATAAAGTGACCACATGCTGCTCCTAAACACCTACATACTGAGTAAATAGGGAAAAAAGCAAACAATAGCTATGAAATAAACTGAAAAGTCAAACAGAACAAGCAATGATAGCCAGCTCTGACACTGACTACTCACCAGGACAACACATAAACTTGTAAAGAAAAAGCTAAAAATTACAATTATTTGAGAAACATCCTATAGAAGAAACCTTTCAGAAAGCAATGTCAAAGTGTACTATCACAGTTGTAAGAAAAACCAAAAACAAAATCCAATGGGATGCAAGCACATAGTTCTGAAGCCATGAATTTCCATTCTCATACCAACTCTACCACCCAATTGAGAACCCACTTTCCAAACAGCAACACATTATTTATCCCTTCTCCTGCTCCCTTCTAGAATGTCAGTGCTGTTCTCTGAGCACAGCAACATTCACCCCTCAGCCATGTCCTATCCCTACTGGCAAGAGTTTTAAAACAGACAAAATGAAAAGAAGCACTAGGCTAAACAACAAAATGCTTTAACTAGCATAAGAACACGTAACTGTCCAACACAGAGAATTTCTCGCTGAGAACAATCTAGCTTGGTGGAAAGATAGGACTATTTTGTAAACCAAGGAAGCAGTTCTGTCATCTGAAGCTGATGTCTTTCCACTCCACTCCTAACTACTGATGAAACTTCGCTAACTGAAAAAAATAAAATTATCAAGACTTTTTGACATTAGACATGCATCTATGAAGTTAGGCAAATCTGCACAAGACACTTGATGCAATTTTCCATTTGCAAGACTGAACAGTGACAACAATGTTTTTGTCAACATCGATGTTTTCAAGCCCATGTGTAACAACAAGACTGAGAAGTGGCACAACGCTTAAAAATCTGGCATCTTAAAAAAATCCTAAAGCACGTAGGACACCACTTGGTATTGCAGCTCCTACAAATTCCCACAACAGGTGGAACATCCGCTTGTTCATTTTCATCATCTGCTGTTAAGAGAAGAAAAAGGTGGGATGTTCCTGCTATTGTACTTTAGTCCCAGTTGCAACAGATGGCAGAAAGACGAAACGTTGGCTGCTTTACTCTTCCAGCACACCTACTTTTCAGGACCTCCCTTCCCATGAAGAGCTCTGAGATTTGCTTCCAGAGGCCCAAAAGCTTTTTTCAACAGAAGCAAACCAGAGTAGCTCTGGAGCAAATTAGCATCATCATATACTTCAATATTAAGCCAACCTGTGCATAGCAAGAGTAGAAATACATGAATCATAATGTCATTTTTTTTCAATACATATTAGTACTGCTGGTTTATTTTAATGGAAAATCATTTTGGCTCAGAAATTGTGGGTTGATTTAAAACCTAGATGCATAAGGTTGCTGTGTGCATATATGTTCCCTCCAGTAATCCAAATCAAAGAGCCAACTGCTATTAATAATTGCTTTTTACTTTCATCTCACATTGTCCCCGCTTCTAATTTCTTTTCAGCTTGTTTTCCTAGTTTGTCTAGTTCATTAAAATCATTCTCTATTATCTTCTTACTAATCAATCTTGCTTTTGTCAATATTTTTTTCAATGACCTATCATTTCCTTACCCTCTGTTTTACCCTAATCCTTTTTCAGATTCTACTCTGTCTCACTCTCTCACTCTTTCTTCCCTTTTTACTATTCTCTTCTTAGAGCTTGCTCCAGCAGTGCTTATTCCTACCCTTAAAATTCTAAGCATACAATTATTCATTTAACCATCAAAAAACAAATTAATAGAAGCACAACATCCCTCCCTTGCCTCATGGATAAAGCAGTTCCTAACTAGTGGAAACACAAACATTACCCTTAGCTTGAACT